TTATTTTTTATATAATATGCCCAAGTCTTTGTTGGTGGTCTACCTCAGCCTTTCTTAACATAAGTCAAATCTAAAACTTTTACTCTCCTAACCGGTTCATCAGATGGTCGACGTTTAATGTGGCCAAACCATCTAAGACGAGTCTCTCTAATTATGTTCGCCATAGAAGCTACACCAACCCTATCATGGATATACGCATTTTGCATTTTGTTTGTGCTGCTCATTTACTTAAGGATACTCATCTCGACATCACTTAGCTTAATTTTATTCTTCTCTTTTAAAGTTCAACATTTTGTGTCACACAACAGCAACAAGCCTTTTACCCACTAAGTGAGGTCGGCTACATGAATCCTTTTTCTCCATTGCGTCCTATTGAGTGTCATATATTCATTTAATTCTAATAAATTAAAATCATTTTTATACAATATGCCCAATTTTTCTAGGTCTACCTCTTCCTTTCTTAACATAAATCGAATCTAAAACACCTACTATCCTAACTAGATCTTTAGGATGGTTGAAATTTAATGTGACGAAACCATTTAAGACGGCTCGCTCTAATTTTGTCCACCACAGGAGCTACACTAACCCTTTTATAGATATATTCATTTGCATATTATCTTTAAGTGTAAAGCCACTCATCCACCTAAGCATTCTCATCTCGACAACAGTTAACTTAACTTTATGCTTATCTTTTAAAGGCCAACATTCTGTGCCATAGAGCATTGCAGGTCTCACCACCATCTCTAAGTGTAAAGCCACACATCCACCTATGCATTTTCATCTCGACAAAGCTCAACTTAACTTTATGCTTGCTTTTTAAAGGCCAACATTCTGTGCCATAGAGAATTGCAGGTCTCACCACCATCTTATAAAATTGTCTTTCAGTCACACAATATACCCGAAACATTCCTCCACTTGAACCAAGTAAATTGAATTCTACCGATAACATCCCATTCTACATCACCATCACCTAGAACACTAGACCCAAGATACCTAAGGCATTTATACCTTAGATATATCCACAAGAAGGATATCAAAAACAAAAAGCATAAACAAGGTAAATCCTCATGTAATTGTCTAGTAAGAGCTTCCAACCATATCTTTGAGTGCCAGAGCGGGTGAGTTGCCGGAGCTAGACTCGTCGGAGCTATGGTCGCTGAAGCTGTGGTCATCAGGGTGATGGAGTCTCCAGGAGAGGTGAGGGGAGGATTAGGGCACGAGGGAGAGGGAAAGACTGAGATGGATCGAGGATTAGGGAAAGTTCGGGGGTGTAGCAAATTTTAATGGTTTAAATGATTCTTTCTGACGACTTAGAAATGACTTCAACTTCATAGGTTATTAACATTAATACCAATGATATTAACTGTTTGTTACTAAAAAAGCTCGTTGTTTAACGCCCCGCTAAATGACGGGTTCGTAAATAACCGACGACATATGACCGTTAGTTATTATGTGCTTATACATGATGATGAATTGTGTCGGATATAATCAAAGCCATCAGAAATAATTCAACATCTAAGCTATCGTAAAATCATAAAAAATAAGAACTTTTTTTACTGATAAAAATTTATGCTGTCATTTTTGTCGTTGTTGTTGGCTACAATATTTTTTTCCTATAATAATTATAGCTAGTAAGGACTTCAGTTAATCTGTTAATAAAATAACTGCCCAGCACTTGATACCCCACCTCTTAACTCAAAAGTCATGGGATGGGCATCGTGCCCGCACCACCTAATCAACCACACACAATCTTCTCATTAAGACACCGAAGGTGGGCACGGTACACTATAAAATGTATCTCATTTATTATTTTATTAGTTTTCTCCTAATGTGTAAAATCCTAATGTGTAAAAGGGAGGAAAAAGAGATAGAGTGTGACTCTTTGAATTTTTATTTCTTGAAGGGAATTCTTCTCTCTTTCTCGTTCTAAAATCTTGTAACTCAGCGAGCCTCCAAGAGGCTTGACTTTTTGGCTGAACAGACATAATAATTTGAAACATTTTCTAAAGTTCCTCTCAGGCCTCTCATTCGTCTTCATATCACACACACACATTTCTCTCTGTGATGCAAGGCCTTTACTGGCATATAAATAAATTTGAGCATAACCCACAACAATTTGATTCCAATATCTTAGTTCATCAAGTACTGTTATGGTATGACTCATATACCATACAGGGACAGATGCTGGAACGAAGCAGAGCGGAGCGCAGCGAAAAAATCTGTCCAAAACAGAAAGTTAGGTTATGTGGGTTGGGGCTATACGGTACAAGGGTAATTTGGGAATTACATATTGTACTGTAGTGTTTACTCTAGAATTATAAATAAACTTTTTTGTAATCCTAGGTATTTGAGAGAGCTGAATATTGTATTCTATACTCTTTTCTCAATATTGAAAAGGAGGTCACCGCTCTGCTCTCGAGAACGTAGGCATCTTTGCCGAACCTCGTTAAATCTCTGTGTTCTTCTGGATTTGTGTCGTTATAGTTTTTGCATGAATACTCAAAGAATTGAAGTGTTAACAATGAAAATACTAATGAAAATTAGAAAATCTCCATAATTATACATATGTATAGAATTCAAGTGTTGGATAAGGTACAGTAGGAGGGTTCGCTAGTTCGCGGCTTCGGTACAGCAAGAGAATTCGTGAATTGCAAGATGTCGCGATTGGCGACGGCAAGGTTCTTGCTGAAGGCGGCTGGGCAGAAGGGCGGAAAGGAATCTTTCCTTCTGTGTCTGGATCTAAAAAGGAAGGAAGTTTTGTAAAGGAAGGTTCGGCGCATTGGTGAAAGGAAGGTTTTCTTGGAGAAATTGGAAGGAATCTTCCCATTTGTTTCCTTTGCTGGTTTGATCGGTTTCCTTTGGAGGCTGCGGATAAGGAAAATGAAGGAAATCAATAAATTTTTTTCCCGCTGAAGAAAGGAAAATTTTTGAATTTTATTTAATTAAAGGAAAGTTGTTTTTTAATTAAGTTGATTTAAAGAAAATATTTAATTAAGGAAACTTAATTAAAATTTTCTTTGTTGGATCTGCGGA